TGGCCCCTGGGAAGCATAATAGAACAAGCCGAGAGCAACAGAGAAGATGAAGCTTCAAATTCTGATTTTGCTACTCACTCATTCTAAGCTTGGGTAAATTACTTAGATTCTCTGAATTTTAGTCCCTGCATTTGTATTCCTAATCCTCAAGTTGTTGTAAAGCTCAGAAATAATGTATATTATAGTGCCAGGCTTGTAATAGATGCTCAAAACTGATTATTATGCTTGAAGTCTTCAGGCCCCAATAGTGACTGATTTTTATGATAATGAATCCAACAAATTCCAGTATTCTGAAATGTCAAAGACTGGCTCAGTTGTCTCAGGTTAATCTGAAATATATTTTATTACAGCCTAATTCTTTGTAAACTGGTCATCTACACATGAGATGCATGGTAATGTGGAATTATTAGAATATTCCACTCTCAATGAATAGCATTTCTTGGCTGTTACGTAAAAACCAAGGGAAAATGACTTATGAAGACATTGATTGCTTCTTAACTTTAGAGGGCCTCCTCAGAATGTAGAATGATTGCCTAGCCAAGAATATGGCTTCTTCCATCTATTCTGTCATCCCACAGACAGAACAAGGCAGTAGGGAGTGAATCTATTTAGCAGGATGTCTTTATATGTGAAGATGTCTTACAGCTCTGTAAATGCTTATTTGCTTATTTATTCATAGGTGGAGAAAGTACTTGTCTTTCATTCTGTTTCCATATTGTAGCCCTAGCAGCAGGCACTTAGTACTGATATGCTAAGGGAAAACAGGTGAACACTGACCCTCAATTAAACCATAATAAATATGTTGCAGCAGTATCCAAAAATACATTTGCTTGCTGCATAATGGAATGAGATGATGGCTAACAATTTTTTATTGCTGAGGTTTTACAGGTAAAGCCCATTATACTTACAAATTGAATGTATAGTATCCATTAGAATATATTATTCAATGCGTTATTTTGCTTATTGCTTGGTGACATAGTCAATATCATTTGCAGTTTACTTTGAGTTTGTTTGGTTTAGCGGCTAGTCAGTTATGCTTACCAAGTGCAATCAGAATTTCTAACGTTGCTGTTCTGTCAGCGAAATGGTCAGTCAGCCCCATTTATTCAGCTCCTGCTGTGTGCAGCACCCTGAAAATCTGGCTTTAAATCTTGAGCTGTGCACTGAAATCAGATTAACAATGTCTACAGCATGTTTGTAGAGGTTTAATAAAAGGAAAAGCCAGAGACAACGAGTTATGTTTCCTGAACCCCGGGTCAAATAGATCAATGGGATTTTCTTAAAGATGCAGCAAGATTTTATACAAAGAAGGTCATAAAAGTAGTAAGGACAGCATTTCATAGGGCTGCATTAACATTTTTGGAAGGTAATTTTTTACTTACAGAAGAGCAGTGAGTGTAGTACAAAGATCTCATGCGTCTCACTCTGACTCCCCCACCAGGCTTGCAGACTCATGACCACCTGAGGGTGAGCTGCAGACACCATGCCTGCTGGTCCTCGCTTCTAAACACGACACTCTCATGCATGCCCAGCTGCGATTCTCCCAGTTAAGGCATCAACCTTGACACACTACTGTTCTCAGGGCTGCAGACCCAGCCCGATGCCTGAGGGGCCAGCAGCATTCTCTGTCCTAGTGGTCAGAACACAGTTGCCGACAGTCGGCATGTCTCTTCAGTCTTTGTGGTACTCTTTCCTGAGACAGGTCTTTCCTTGTCTCTTATGACCTTGGATGTCTAAGGAAGGCAGACCTGACATTCTCTTGGACAGACTTCAATCTGGGTCTGTGGATGCTTCTCATGACACAGGTCACGCAGCCCTGACAGGAACATTGTGGACACGTGTGCTTCTTGGTGTGTCTCCTTAGGTGTCACACTGCCTCTCTTGTCCCCACCCCTGACCATGTTAACCTCCACCATTTGTTTGAACCAAGTAAAGCCTATTCCAGGTTTCTCTACCTCAGACTTACCATTGTCCTTTGGAGGTGGATTAGTACATTATGTGTGTGTGTGGGGGGGTATTCTTTGTTTACACTGGGGCCCTGCACCCCATCAAACTTCAATTCTCATTCATTGCATTATTTACTGATTCTGAAGTTATCCTGGATTTGGCCTATGAGAGCTTCTCCAGTGTGGCTCCTGTGTCTTTCTGGCATGTCCCATCAGTCTTTAAGCATGCCTTACTCTTTGGGTACAAGAAACTCCAGACTCATACTGTCCTGTGTCAATACAAAACTCAGTTCACTTATCTATTTATCTATTTATTTACTTATCTATTTATTTATCTATTTATTTATTTATTTATTCATGGAGCATGGTGTTTAGAAATCTGCATCTGAGTGCTTGATGTATGCATTGCTACTGGAGTATAGTTTCTTCTAGACTTTCTCAGTGGCTATAGGTAGAACATAAATGTAAATACACAAGCATATACCTCTAATTATTTCTGTATCTTATCTGTGAGTAGCTATACTAAAAACCACTCAATTCCAGTGCTTCCAATTCCAGATAACAGGCCTAAATTCTTTTTTTTTTTTTTTAAAGATTTACTTATTTATTCATACAGAACTGGGATACAGGCCAGAGATGTGGAGGGTGAGAGGATTCACCAGAGACAGAGCAGGGAGCAGAACTGGCAGATCGAAGAAGTACACTGCTGAGGGGAGCAGCGGGTGGGTCAGGAGAGGTCTGCTTCGCCATGTGGATCTCCTCTGGGGCAGGCGGGGATTGAACTCATGCGGAAGTGGATTAAGCTTCTTTTTGCAGTGCTTTAACCCGCTGCGCCACCAGGGAGGGCCCAACAGGCCTAAATTCTTTACCCCTTTTCATAACTATGAGCACAGCTGATGTTAGAACAACACGGGTTAGGAGTGTTGGTTCCTGAGTATAACTTATAGTCAGCCCTCTGTCTCCATGAGTACATGTCCTTGGATTCAGCCATTGAATTTGTGAATGTGGAACCTTGAATAGAAATAGATTCTTGCCTAAGAGGACCCTTGCAGTTCATACCCATGCTATTCAGGAGTTGGCGATACATTCTCTAGTACTAAGAGCCTGGCTCTCTTCATCTTCTGCCTATTTACCTGCTAAGTCCAACTTCACTATTTCTCATTGTCACCTATCTTCTCCTGCTGTCCACCTTATCTATAGGCACTGGCAGGTACAGGCTCGAGTATGTCAGCACGTCCCTGTGTTTGGCTGCCCAAGGTCCCCCTGCATCATGGGTGTGCTCCTGTGTGCTCCCTCTAAGCCCCCTTCTTCCACAGGATGGTTACAACCCAATTCTTCTCCACAGAGAAGACATTCTATTTATAATGTTGACCTCTGTACCTGCACGCTGGCATGTGAAGTGTAACCCTCAGTAGCTGATAGCCGCTCAGAAGACTGGAGTAGGAAGTAACTTATAAATTCGAGGCAGTTATCGGCTATAAAATTGCTGGTGTTGCTACCATAAACTTTTCTAATAACTTTAGCTATACATACTTTTGAAGGTGAGTGACAGCCCAGAACATAGCAAATCACAGGTATTTCCTGGGATAACTTAATGTTTTCCTTGGCAGTCCCTCCTGAATGTGATTTTTGGCTGCTGACTCACACTTCCAGGGGTTCTTTTGGCTGGAGCAGCTTGCATTGTCTGAGGACAGTGAGAGGTTACACTTTAAAGTAGGGGGTTAACAGAGGTAGGCCAGATTGGATTTCTGATGTTATTGTGAGCACTTGAAAACTCATACTTAGTGGTCCAGTTGATAATAGCCAGTTCTTTTGGACAAGTCCTGGGTGCCAGCATGGGGCTGAATGTTTTGGTTTCATTTAATCTCCAGAAAACTGTATGAAATGGATATAATTATCATCCCTGTTTCTATACATTAGAAAGCTGAATATTAGAATGGTTAAGTCATTTAAAGGTCAAACAGCAAGAGATGGCAACTGACAGTTGAGATACAAACTGAGGTTGTCTCCATCTGTATATGAAAGGATTGCAACTCATTTTTGACTAAGCATTATGACTTAGTTGAGATGTTATTTTAAATTTTATTTAAATTTTTAAATGTTATTTAAAGTTTATTTTAAGGTAAAAAGTCTTTGAAGTTTTGATTTCATATAGCACGAAATAAGTAGATCAATAAATTAATGACAATAAGTTCAAAAAAAATTTAAGGGCCTCCCTGGCGGCCCAGGGGTTAAGTCTCAGTTCTGTCACCTCATGTCCACACAGTGCAGCAGGCTTCTGTATAGCCCACTAATCCCCTCAGCAGTATATTTGTGTAGATCCACATGTTCCGCTCCTCTTGCTGTCACTGGTGAATCGTATCACCCTCCACGCCTCTGACCTGTACCTCAGTTCTTCTATACAAAAAGAAAAAAAAAATTGAAGCATAAAGCTTGGTGTTAGGGAGCAGATCCCTTGGGGGCTGTCTCAGGAGAGCTGCCAGGCCAGCTCCTCTGTGCATTACAAGTGCGGTGTCTGAAATAGCTCCAGCTGTCACTTTGAAGAAGGTGGCACAGATTGAGAACCTGGCAGACACTTGTGACTTGGCCTCCAAAGGAAGTAGATGGTCCTTTCTGAGTGGTTCCTTGGCAGAATCTCTTGGCCGGTTTCTGGCTGTTGGTCCCAATGCATGCACGTTGATGGGGGTGATGGCCCAGCTGAGGCCCCAGGACACAGGCTGCATAAGTGGGTTTTCTCCCAAATGATCACATGGTTTTACAAACAGTGTTAGTATCCTTGGATGTGGCGATCCTGATTTTGACCATCATATAAATACATAAATGATAGCCTTTTGTAGTAGAAGAACAAAAGGTAGGAACGTGATGCTGTCAGTCAAAAGACAGAAGAGTCTTCACAGCCCCACTGCAGGCACAGATATGCTGGCTTAGAAACCAGTCACTGCTGCTTTCTGTCATGAAGGTGGATGTTGACCGGGAGTGAGACTAAGAGATGCTGGATTCTCTATTTTGAATTTCACACTTCTTCATTCTTCTCTCTTCATTTTGGGCTTCCAGCTGAGATGTTAAAGCAAAAATTAGAAGATTTGGAGAAAGAGAAAAGCGACCTGCAGCTTCAGCTTCCCTCCCAGCAGCCAGCCCTTCGCATCCTCCTGCGCCAGCTGGGAGCACAGGCCCAGGGTGCTGTGCACCGGGCTCTGCAGTAAGTACCTGGGGGATCCCTCTGACGCCTGCCAGGCTCTCTTCCTCTCTGGGTGCCTGTGTTGCAAAGACCCGGAAGGGCTGAGCTGGGGAGACCTCAGCTACTTATTCCTGGGGGTGCTCCCTTTGCTGGTGCAGCAGGAGGGGGTTTCTTCCAGAGTGAGGTTCCAGAGTGGGTCATGCTCCCTGAAGAGGAAAGGCCTTCCTGTTAATTGACAACATGCACAGGGCTGGTGTCAAGCTTCTCCTGGAGGCTGGCCTTCTGAGAAAGTGGGCTGGATTTTTTTCATGTCATATGTCATATGCAGGACAGCGTGGCTCTTGGTTGTGTTGAGTCTGTGAAAGCCACAGACGGTTCCATTGAATGAGGGATGAAAATGTGCTTCCCTGATCTGTCCCTCTAGCTCCTGAGCTACTCTCACTGTTCCTACTACTCAGGGTCTCCTGAGATAGGTCACACAGAGAGAGAGCAGCCACTGCTTCTAACCCGCTGGCCCCTGGAGCTGGCGGTCTGTTTGAGTTACCTGGAGGTATAAAGTGTGCAGGTTCCACCCAGACCAATCAAGTCAGGCTCTCTAGGGATGGGCCCCACTGCTGGCATGTTTGAAAAGTGGGCAGCTGTGCTCATTGACTGCTTGTTACCACTCTCCCTGGGAAGGTTAGAGAGGGAACCAGCTTGTGTTGGAGGCTGTAAGCATCCTCACAATCTGGGCCCTGACAACCAAAGATCATCTGGCCTATTCTTAGTCAGTGTAGATAGCATTGTAATTCAGTGTCTCAGTGTCTCCCCATGGCCTCTCTTAGCAGTGAGGGCTGTTTTTTTCATCTGTTTGGTTGGTAGCTGCTAAGTCTCCTGATTTTCTACATGGTCTCCTGAAAGAGCAGGTGAATACCATCTCCCATTACTATTCTTTTGTCATATATAAGTTGCATTATCACCTCATTTCTGCACCATTTTTCAGCGGGTCTTTCCCAACTCAGCTTTCTACTGAACTCTTTTTTCCTTTTGGTCTTTGGGGCCCTATCTTGTCATACTCCCTTGTCTCGGCTGTATTAAATGAAGGGCTATGGTTGCAATTCTCATAGTAGCCACCAGGGGGACACAGTGTCTGGCGGGAGCTTCTAGGCTAAGAGCTCTCTCCCAGTAAAGGAAATAGTGTACTTTCTAACGAATGGCCCTAAGGAATAAAATATTTGCATTGATGTGGAAAATTTTCAATACCAGGTAGTAACACAAAAAATCGCCTCTTAACCTTTTGGGGATCAAGTATTTCTTTGAGAATCTGATGAAAACTATACACTTCTATCATAAAACCACTATTCATGAACACGCAAATGACTGTGTGCCTATCCTGTAGTCTCGAGATCTGAGGCTCATCCAGTCATTCTGTGGAGGGGCTTTGGGTCTCAGGTTAAGAGAATTCGGCTTAGGATCAGAATTAAGGAAAATTAAACATTCCTGGACAACAAGGTGCTTTAGTTTTCACTTAAAAAATAACCTCTTTAGATGTGGGTGACAGACCTGTGAGGAGGTTGATTATGGCTTTATCTTAATTTTGATTTTGCTCTTTTCCTCCCAGACTTGTCTGGCTATTTCTGACCCCTTTCTATGGGTCCCGGCCAGAAGGTGCTTTAGTTTTGTGATGGACTTTCAGGCCTTTGCTTTGAGCCAATCCCTTTTAGGTAGATTTAAAAAAAAAAAAGGATTTATTTATTTATTTATGTATACAGAACTGGGATACAGGCCAGAGTGCAGGGGCAGTGAAATGATTCATCAAAGACAGAGTGGGGAGCAGAACAGGCAGATCGAAGAAATACACTGCTGAGGGGAGCAGCAGGAGGGCCAGGGGAGGCCTGCTGCGTCAAGTGGATCACCTCTGGGGCAGGTAGGGATCGAACTCATGGGGAAGTGGCTTTAGCTTCGTAGTGCTGTGCTTTAACCCAGGGAGGGCCCCCTTTTGGGTAGACTTTTACCTATGAGAGGATGGGTAACTTCAGGTTTTTGATTTAGAAATTATGTTGTCTTCTGTATTGTATACTTATTGTATTAAAGTTCCTTTCCATTAAAAAATAATAACCTCTTTAACTTACCGGTTTAATTCTCTGAACTTGAATAAAATAAAAATGAGACACACTTGATTTGTTGAGGTCTTTCCAGCAGCCCAGAGACTTCTAGGGGTGACTTTCAGATATTGACTGACTTGTCTAATAGCACATACTGGTACTCAGGTGGGTGGGCACCCCGTCCCTCTGTTTTTGGTTCCTTACTGTTCAGTGATATAAATGGTTTGCCTGGGTATCTCTACTCAGTGTGGGTACAGCAGCCTGATCTCAGGGCAGGTGATACATACCTTCAGTCATTTTCAGTTATGGACAAACATCCTCCAGTCGTGTCCAGCTTGAACTTCAGTGTTTGTAATCCATCTCTTGTTGGCCATGGTTGCCTCCCTTGTTTAACAGAGACCTGGGGACCCACTGTGTGTAGGTGTTGAAGTTCTGTCTTGTGGGCCTCAGAGGGCAATTCAGGGCCTTCCCAGGGCCTAGATCCTGATGTGAATTAGTCTCCTCCACCCCAACTGGACAAAAATGCATTTTATCCATCACTCAACAATTTTTGTGGGGTCCCTTTTTCCCAGTGGAGAACTTGTTGGGGAGGACAAGTTCTGTGATCCTGATGATTTATGGGAAGCTCATAAATTCTTGCTTCCCTGAATGTGGGCATGGAGGCCATCAGCTTCCAGACCCTGTCTGCCCACTGAAGTGGCTGCTGCTAGCTTGCAGTGCTGCGCTTTAACGTGTTGCACCCCAAGGAGGGACCTCTTTTTTAAAAAGATTTATTTATTTATGCGTACAGATTTATTTATTTATGTGGGGGCAGTGAGAGGATTCACCAGACACAGAGTGGGGAGCAGAACAGGCAGACTGATGAAGTACACTGCTGAGGGAAGCAGCGGGTGGGTGAGACAGAAGAGGTCTGCTGCACCGTGTGGGTCACCTCCCTGGCTGGGAGGTGAAGTGGCTGTGGCCAGCTTCATAGTGCTGTGCTTTAATAGGTCGAGCCATCAGGGAGGGCCTCCAGAATGCCTTCTTGCAAGGTACACCCAGTCTTTATGGGTGAGTCTAGTGGGGTTTTCTCTCCTCTTCTCCCTCCTTTTCCTCATTCCTCACCCAACCCCCTCTTTGCCCCCAAGTGGGACTGTGGGAAGGGGAAAGAAAGACATCTTTCTCGAAGATGCTGTTCCCTACACAGCCAGTAGATGTGTGTGTGGAGCTCGTTGTTGACTGTGATACCTTTGCTTATGCACCCTTGGGTGAGGGCAACCTACCCCACTGTTAGGGATTTGGAATAGAAGGCATTTAGGCCTGTGTCCTTAAGCATTAGCTTCTAACTCTAGAGCAGCTGGAAAATTCTACCTCAATATTTTCTCTCAGCAAGCAAGAAGAGGACAGAGAGAAATCTATTCTGGCTGTGCTTTTTACCTAGTCAAAAAGTTATTTTTTCCTTTTTCCTAATAGAGGGTTTTGGCCTGCTATTATATATATGACTGATCATTTTTCTTAATAATACTTTACATATCTTTAATCATCATCCTGTCTGTTTTTCCACAGGAACTTCCCCAAGGTGTGTTAAAATAGGTGACATTTACAATATAAAGTCTGTGTGTGTGTGTGTGCGTGCAAAGTGTCCTTTGTGAAAGACCCTTTCCCAAAGGATTACTTGAAACGAAATGAAAGAAAGTAAAAAAAATAAGGATATGCAATGGTTTTCCATTGGGGCTTATCAAGGCAGAGCTCAGCTTGCCTGTCCAAATAGCTCCTGCTCACAAACTTCCTTTCTGATGGAAACCAAAGATAACAGAGATAAATGTTCACAGAGATAAGTGCTGTAGAACTCATGCTACTTCCGGAACTGAGTCCTTTTTCCCCTGACCAGTTCTTCCTTTATTCCCTTTGAACATGTGATTCATTGTTTCCACTGAATTGTCTTGTTGGGACCATCACACCATAGGATTCAGTGACAGTCAGCTCTAAGTTCGTAGACTGGAAAGGAGATAAAACTGCATTAATGCAAAAATGACTCAATTTTACCAGAGACATAAAACAAGATGGTGACCATTATGGTACCTCATCAAAAAATCTTTGTTGCTAACATACTAGGATATGTTTCAGAACCCCAAATCAGAATTTGTGGTGGGGCGCCAAATGGGCAAGGCTTGTGCCCCGTGTCCAGGAGACTGCTTCCTGGGCCTTTTCATTGTCTTGAGAAGGGAGGAAGTGAGGAGGGGAAAAGTTGAAGTGAGTTATAGAGGATTCCTCAAAACTTGTTTTAGACTTGGTAAGTTATAAATACAAGCTTCCCAAGGTGTCCCAAGCCATATTCACTTGAATTCACCTGAGTCTGTCCTGAAGCAGGTGACTTGCTTGGTCTCTCCTCTGCCTGTCCATATTCTCACTGCGATGATCCTGAAGACCCCTCTCCCGTTGCACACACATAAACAAGGGAAGGGTGCGGGAGGCTCTGGAGACCTGAAGGCTGACAGAGGAGGTGGTGATGTGGGCTCCTCACAGACTCACATTCACTTACCATCGGTTTTAGAAAACATTTACACCTGGAAGGTGTTTCATTCTTTCTCAATGTTACTGAACTATGCAGGCATTAAAGTCACCTGTGAATGTTATCCCTCGTATGAAAAATATCTGCCTGGGAAATTTGGAGTTAAAATATTTTCAGTGGGATAAATGGGTTTTACCTTTCTTTAAATGATTGGTGGAAGGACAAAAGTTAAAAGTTCGGGATTGTCGTCCCTGGCTCCCTCCTACCCCGGGGGTGTCTGTAGGAAACCTTGGGACTGAAGTGGGGTCTCAGACACCCAAGTCCCCATTGGCACCAATGCTGTTCTAACATCCTAGCTCTCATGTTTTTAATTCTAGCCCCTGAGGGATTTGCTCATTTTACATACTGATTAGTTTATAGCAGCAATGCTAATTTGCACTGACATT